GGCCTTATAAATCATCACCACAAGTTCATCATCTCATTTGCAGAGGATGAAGCGGGTGGGTTTGTGCACAGTACTGCAAAGGTGCAATATAAATAATAAAGCAATTATGTGGCTGAAAAGCATTCATATTATATGTTGTTGTTGTTGTTGTTGTTGTTTTTTTCCCTGAAGGAGAACTTTATTTTCTGGCAACCTCCTACCCAAATGCAATGTCTCCCTTTGGCACGCTTTACAAATTCATGGATCCATCCAGGTAGTTATATTTTGCTACATTTGGATACATTTTCTACTTCAACAGATTGTCTTGCAAATGAAGACAGCATCAATATATATCAATATGCATGCACGTGCAGTAGAGTAAAAAAGATGAGTCGTCAAAATGTATCTTAGCCTAATCTGTCTATATAACCAATCATGGATAAATTCCCCATTAAAAGAATAAAATGTAACAGATAACTCTCAGTTAAGACATCATGCTGGGAGACAGAAGGACTGCAGGACGTATCGGTTTAAGTGTCATGCGGTCTATATTCCTGTGAAATCTTGGAATCTGTTGAGCATGCTTTCACCAAATGGTTTCCATCCAGACTTCTGGAAATCTACTATCATCTATCTATCGCAGATCATGAATACTAATCAGTGATAACTCAATGATTTATTTGTTCATGGTATACTGTGGGAGATGGGTGTCTGATGTATGGAAATGTCTGACAGAAAAACTGACAGAATTATCTTTAAAGACTGAAATAATAATATAAAGAAGCCAACATAAGCAGTTTGATGTTTGAAATAATTAACTGATGGATAAATCAAGAGACATATGATTGCTGGAACCAGCAAGACTATGAGAGATTATCGGCACATCTGAAATCAATCTCACTAATAGCAATACCATACATTAATCCCAGCTGTTCTGTAATCCCTCCTTAAATAGCCAAGTGGGGAAAAAAGAGGTTCATTACTAATAGGAGCAGTAGACGGTCATTGACCTCACATACACACACAGCCTTGTATATACATGTTGAAATAATTATGATGCTTCAAATTTCTTTTTTACCGCACGGTACTAAAGGAGGCCTACATTTTTAAGGTTAATGGAGTTATTTTCTCTGCATCCCCTCTTGTCTGTCTTTATTTACAGGAGGGCACCTCCAGGAAAATGCAAATGCAAGCCACTTCCTGTAAAGCTCAGAGGGAAGAAAGTGCCATTCATACCTAGAGAATGTAAGAATATTTTACATCCTAAAAAATTATTTGGTCTTGTCTTATCTGTTTACACTGTAAAAAGTATTTTTCGATGTTGTAAAAAAACAATTATTGGAGTATATTTTACAAGAAAATAGTACTTCAGTTTTACTTCACTTCACAATTTCATGTTACTTGCTGTTTCTTTGTAATTGTTTGTGGAATTAGTATTTTTTTCTATTATTTTTTTAAATGTCAATTTTTTTTTTTTTTTAAGATTACCAGAG